AGAGAATGAGGAGGAATGTGTTTTTAGAGATTGAGAGAGATGACGAAAAAGTGATATACACACAGCCTAAGAAGTAAAAAATGAGGGAATTTTTGGACACAGCGTATTCTCGCACGTGCGTGCCTTTTCTCGTACGTGCGGCGCGCCTTCACCGCACGTGCGGCCTTCACCTTCGCACGTGTGACCCTCCTTCCCCGCACCTACCATTTCACGTGTAATTATTTCAGTGTTGCACCCTGGCCGCCCCTGTTTTTCGCACGTGCGACCCTCTTCTGCACGTGTGGCCCAAGCCTCCACACGTGCGGCTCTGGATCCTAGTAAAAAATTTCACCTGCTGGACTGAGACCTTCCGAAACATGTGGAACTCAACATCGAAATAAAAATAAGAGCGAGAATTTTGAGAAAAGTTTTCAAAATAGAAAACCCAAACAATCGTAAGGCCTCAAGTTAAACCCTAACACTCTAACACAATGAATCCCAATACGAACAAAATAAAAAATAAAATAAAAGAAACAAGACGAATTACCTGCCCAACCATCACACAGACTGGCGGCCATTTTTACACCCTTACCCATTGTCAGAATTTTTTATTTATCAGAATTAATTAAAAAAAATTAGCTACTCTTATATACAATCATAAAATTACTTGAATTTTTAACTGAAATATATTTATGGTGTCATTAATATTATTGCTTCATAGAATAATTTGTTAATAAAATGAGTCATTTGTTATGCGATTAGAAATATGAAGGGGTAGAATGTAATTTTCAGAATCACATGGGGTAATCAGTATTTTAAATAAATTTTAGAAGGTATATTTGTAATTTACTTGTTTTCTTTTTACTTTTTTAGATTCATCTAGATAAGACGGACCTGAATGTAAAAATTTTAACATACATTTGACATAATATATTCATCATTTTTGGAATGTACAATTTACTTTAATCCTGTGTGTTTTACTCCACGTGCAATTTACCTATTAATATTTGAAAATAAATACATAACTCTTATGTTTTGGCACGTATTTCACACTTATTATTACTTTGCACAGAATATGTGACGATATACTTTAGTTCTTAAATTACAAGAATAATTGGAATAATCCCCGTCTGAGCTCAACCATAAAAGAGGAAACTCAAGTTTACCCCTATTTAAAAAAAAAAAGAAGGGTTGTATAAAAATAAATAAATAAATAAATAAAAAGAATTCTTGGGAAATTTCTACGAACTTACTTAACTTTTTGCCTTTAACAGTTCAAGACAACCCCAAATTTTACGACAATTATTAATTACTATATTTTTTTTTTTTTTTTTTTGGGATTGTGTATTAAGAAATTCTTTGGATTCCAATCCAGAGATTTTCTCTGGATTTCAAGAAATAGTAATGAAGAGTTCAAGAAACACCAGAAAATTTCTCTGCTTTCCTAATCACGATGTGCAATACCCAAATTGATCACCCAAATAAGTAACAACAACCAATATACATATATCTAGAGAATTTTTCCGGACTTCCTAGGCCAGAGAAATTCTCTGGATTCCAGTCTAGAGAATTTTTCTGAATTCAAAAAACAGTAATGAAGAGTTCAAGGAATAGAGCATCTGGCTTCATCGTGATTTGCATTTGTCCATATACATAATACATATACAACTTCTCAAACACTAAAACTTTAAATTCGAAATTCAAAAACTCAACATCCCCAAATCCTTGAAGACCCATCAACACCATACAAAATTGTCAAACAAACCATAATCACATTGTTCATGAGATAGATTTTCAAGAAACACATACTGCATCAACTATATTGCAGAAAATAAAGAAATCAAAACAGAGGAAAAACAGAGAGAGAAAGAGAGAGAGAGAGAGAGTATATACGACTGTGAGAGGAGATGAGGGAGAAGATAGCGGTGGCAAGAGGATATGTAGCGGTAAGAAAGAGCTGTCGGTGGCGGCGATGGAGGTGGAGTTCAATGGGGAAAGAAGAGCAAAGAGAGAGAAAGAGAGGGAGAGACCGGTTTGATTTGAGAGAATCAAATTTCTCTGTGATATATGGGTGTCAAGGTTGAGGGACCTTAGATATCACAAAATAATATTGTGAATCTCTTCCGTTATTAAAAATGGGATAGGGATCTTAGACTAATTCTCTCTTTTTTTTATTTGTTTTTTATTTGTTTTATTATTTTATATAAAAATAATTTAATAATCTCTACACTAACAACTATCATCAGAATAAACAAAATTTTACTTAAACCCCTCACTATTAGTCCCCTTACTAATAATCTCCTCACTATCAATCCCTTCCATCCTACCTCTGAAAACAAACGGGACCTCAGTGAAATCCATTCACCATTCACCATTTCAGTCCACCGTTCTGATTTTATCATTGCCATTCGTGACTCGCCGATCCAAATTTCGATCGTCATTCAACCTTCGTAATTGCCTCCACAAATTCCACATCCACTATATTACCACACTACAAGAATTTACACAATTGCCGACCACTTTTGCCGACCAAAATAATTTTGGTCGCAAAAAAATGACATTTGGCAACCAAATATTAATTAGTCGCGAATGATCATTATTTTTGGCGACCAAATATTATTGGTCGTAGAAGGTTATATTTTGGCGACCAAAAAATGAGTTGGTCGTAGAAAGTGATATACTTTTGCCGACCAATTACAAATTTGGTCACGGAAGGTCACATATTATTTGGCAACCAAAAATTTGATCGTCAAAAACTTATTTTTAGCAACAAAAAAAATTTAGTCGCCAAATTTGTATTTTTAGCGACTAATATTTTAGTCGCCGTTGATTGAGATTTGGCGACTAAAAAAGTTTGTCAGCGAAGGTACCTTTTCTGCGACTAATATGGTCTTTTGGTCGCCAAAGTTTGGGAGGGAAATTTGATTTTTATAGAGGCGGGAATTGAATTTTTTTTGCGACAAAAAAATTTGGTCGCCGTTTTTAAAACGACGTCGTTTTGTACCAGAAAAATAAAAAAAGAAAAAAAAAAGCCCTAATCCCTTCTGCCTCTAGCCCTCTCTCTGTGTCTATGTTGGTCTGCCCTCTCCCCCTCTCTGTGTTCTCTCTCGTAATCGGTGCCCTCAATCGGTGCCCACTCTCTCTAGCTCACCGAAGTCCCTCACCACCGATGCTCACATCCGCCGCACATCGCCATCGCCGCAAATCGCCATCGCCCTCTGTCTTTCTCTCACACAGAGGGAGCGATTGCTGGATATTCGCCAAAAGCATACGTATGCATACGGTACCGTGATTTTTGCACTCTCTATCGTTGGTTGAAGACATTGTTTACTGGGCAAGGCTGGATTCTTCCTTCTACCTGGTCCTCTGTCGAACGGGTATCCAGAAAGATTTTTGGGAATGTCTCTCCTGATGTTGTTGCAGAGAGAAGTGCCCTAATTCAAGAGTGTTTACGATCCATTCTGCACTCCAAGTTTTCATCCAGCGTTCTAAGTGCTCTAATTTGGTTCTTGACTCCACAAACTTTTCTTTCTAGTTCTCCTGCATTTAATAAATCCAACCCTCAGTGTCCCTTTTCTGCCAGAAGCACAGACACAAACAATGTATTGACATTTGGGAAGACCATTTCCCTTATTGTTGAAATTCGACCAAATATTAATGAGGTACTATGTACAAGTGATGGCGGAGCAATATTAATGAGTTACACTAGATTTTGTTCAAATCTGTAATAGCTTTATGACTAGATCAGGCACTTTAGATGGCTTCTGTATGCATTGGAATTTTCATTAAATGGTTTGTCTTTTATTTTGCTGCTTTCCAGATTTTGATGCCTGTCTTCCCTGGACAGCTACGTTACATTCGTAAGAACCTGTTCCATGCAGTTTTTGTTTTGGATCCTGGTTCAGCTTGCGGTCTTGAGGCAAGTATTTAATATCTATCAACTAATCTGAGTTTCTTGTTGCATTTCATTATCACAGGAATTGCTCTTTTTTTTTTTTCTCCTTTGGTATTTGTAGTCCATTGACATGATTATTTCTTTGTATAAGAATAATCTTCCAATGAGATTTGGGGTGATATTGTTCTCTACGAAGTTCATCAAGATGATTGAAATGAATGATGGCGAAATCCTAGCAGCTCCCATGAGTAATGATGATGTATCTAGTCTGGTAATGCTTCTCTCTATCTTATTCAATGCTTGTGATAATGTCTTCTAACTAAAAGTACATTGAGCGTATTTGCAAGTCAATTGGGTTTAAGGACAATATTACCTTAGATAACATGTAACCCTTGATCCAATGCCTGTTCTTGAACCACACTGATGTGACTTTGCCAGATTAGAGGAAGTATTTTGACATAATTCTCGCTAGTGTTGCATTGTGATTTACTGGAGCAAGGAATAAGAATTGTTGTCAAATTTTTTATGAATTTCAATGATGATGAGCATTTCTGTTCTATTATCTAGGCTTTAATTTTAAGGGATTGTTCTGCCTTATTTTGCAAACCAGTAATGCCGGAGGTGACTGATATCACATGCCGTTGTATATATTTGTAAACAAGAGGTTGCTACTAGTCCTCCAGATATTTAATTGGGCTTAGCTGCCACCTGACTGCCCGCCCATCCTGAAATTTATTGGTGGAGCCTAATTTGAACTTGGTCATAGTGGCCTGAACTTGAAGTTTGGCTAATCTTTTCCCAATATGAAATGAAGCTTTTAATTATTTTTTATGTTATATTTGTGTTTTTCAATTGTATTGTAGAAAAGCACAATCATAGAAAGATGCGAGATAGGGATAAGGTATTTGAACTGCAGTCAGTTAAGTTAGAACTAAGCTTTAGTAGACTTTTTACTTATGCTGAGTAATGTTTCAGGTGTAGGTTGGCCTAACTGAGAGTCGTAGAAGTAAATTCTAAGGACTTTTTAAAACGTGTCAGTAGATCTGTTATTTGGTATCCATTATTTATTTATTTAAAAGTTTTGTTGCAACACCTCATGATCTATCTTACAAACGAAATCATTGTAAGAAGCTTTTGTGCTTTGTGTTTTGTCCACTTATTCCATAAATTTATTGTGATGCTAATGAAAATTGTTATCATGACTCTGTTTTGCAGATCATACGTCTTTTTATTTAAATTAAGGAACATCACGGGATTCACATGGTATAGCGATCCCGGGTTTACCCTTGTTGTATAGTGATCCGGACATGTGTCCGTGGATGTTGGTAGTTGTTTATTATCTTGTTTACATCCTTTCTTACTTTGTATTTGAGTTATAGGATGTGTTGGGCAGATTTGTTTCAAGTTGGTTGAGTTTAGAAACCAAAACTAGTTGCCCAAACTTTGACCTGTCCGCTCGAGCGGGAATTGCACCCATCCAGTATTTCCTGTGCAGTGTTGGACGCTCGAGCGTGGGATTGGCCGCTCGAGCGGGATTGTGTGAGTGCCGCTCGAGCGGGGAGTTGGAAGCTCGAGCGGAGACCTGGCTGATTATAACAGATTATAAAGAAAAGAAAAGAGAAGAAGTTAATAGATAGGACAGATATATTTCAACAGATCTAAACTTTTTACTTTCTCTTCTCTCTCTTACTTTTCCAAAGTCACCATTGTTGAGCCTCTCACTCTAGACTCTACCTTCTCTCTAGGTTTTGATCTAGTAGGAGTGATTTGCTCACCTTTGGCCTTTACAAAAAAGTTGTTGATTGTCGAGGGCTTCATTTTAATCTGAAAATCTCGGGTTTTGGAGCACGTTGAGTTTTGTCTTCTTCTCCCTTGGAGCTCCGAATTTGAGGTAGGGATAACCTACTCCTCTCTATGGGTTTTGTCTTTAAATTTTGGTATTTTGAGATGTTGGGCTTGGTTTGGTAATCTTGTAAAGGTTTGGGGCTTTTGTGTAATTTTACAAAGGTTGGGGTTTTATTCATAATAAACCTAGATGCATGTTTGGCATGAAGAAAATGGAATGATTGTTGAATCATTGATGAAAATGGGACCTAAGGGTTGAAATGGTAATTATGGAAAATGGCCTAATTACATTGTTTAATTAATTGGGATAATTAATTGGTGAGTAATGAGGAAATGAAATGTTGATTGAATATCCATTTGTGCATTTGTGCATTTATTTTCTGTTTAGAACTAACTGCTTTGGGCTATCGGTGGAGGATAGTCGAGATTGTTGTAGACAATGCATGATGATTAGGTAAACGGAAACTAATCAATGGAATGTGTCATGGAACTTAACGGGTGATAGAATACATTAATTGTATGTATTGTGATTGTATATAGAACCAATGTGTTTATATACGTTATGTGTAGAGGAGGAGATAGGGGATGTACTCCGCGGTTTAGGGGAAGATAGGGGATGTACCTCTAAACCGGATAGGTATTGGGAGGAGATAGGGGATGAACTCCGTAGACACAGCTCATATGCTTGTCTAGAGAAGTGAAGATAGAGCTCATATGCTTATCTTTGTGAAGTGTGGATACAGCTTGTATGCTTATCTGTGGATATTGTTGATATACATATCTGTTGTAGAATGTGGATACAGCTTGTATGCTTATCTGTGGATATTGTTGATATACATATCTGTTGTAGAAAGTGGATGTAGCTTATATGCTTATCGTGGATATTGTTGTTATACATATCTGTAGAGAATGTGGATATAGCTTTTATGCTTATCTGAATATGAGATATAGTTTTTGTACATATCTGTGGAAATGATGATAGAGCTAGCATGCTTATCTGTTGAAAAAGGGAAAATGAAAAGTAATTGGGACTTGTAAGTCGTTGACATAAATATGTAATTTATGTGATTGTATCAGTGTTGACCAACTATCAATTGCTAATGTTTTAGTCATTGTCCATGGTTGGTTTAGTGTATTTCTACTGGGCTGTGGCTCACCCTATATGGGAATATCATTTTCAGGTGCAGGAAGCATGCCACCTCCAAGGACATAGCTGGGAGACTAGTGGCGGACATACTTTTGTCGCTTAACTTTTGATGTATTACATGTAACTTCAAGCCCAGGGCTTAATGTGTAATCGAGTTAGAACTCTTTTGTTGTAACCAAGTGTTAACTTGGAAAGCTGTAAGCCTGTAGGGCATTTTGTTATGATGTTAACATGTAATACTTATGTAATGGAATTCTAATGAATAAAGAAATGTGGTTAGTTTAAATGTAAATGCATGTCTTATTTGATGGGTTTAATGTTATTATTTTGAGGGCGTTACACATGGCTTTCCAGTTTTTGAGCAATGTATGACTTTGGAATCTATATTATTCTTATTTGCATATTCTGGGATGTAAAAGAAATCATTTCTCAGTTTTGTTTCTTTCTCAACATTTTGTTGTTTTGCGGGTTCATGTTTTCTCTTATTTTCTGAAAATACTGAAACTAAATATAAAGACCACAAATCTTTGGACAAGTAAAGAAGTTCATGAATCATGAATATAAAAACTTTATGGAGACTCTTTCTTAGGATCAAAGGCCAATAAACATAAATGAGTGGTAAAACACATTCTTGATATCACCTTTACTATTGCAGTTCCTGTCTCATGCTAATTTTGCAATTACTATTTACCTCCATCTCATGTTTTTATGCACTGTCCAAACTTCAAATTGTTTGTTAAAAAGGGATGCTTGAATATGTGATTAAAGAAATAAGAAAAACTACAAATACATCGGATAATATATTCTCAAAAAATCACAAAAAATAAAATGATACAATTTTATTCCGTTACTTACTGTTACCAGGTTCTGGTACTGGTAATTTGAAGAAACTCAACTCACTAACGCCTTGTCGCAAAGGTTTTGGTACTTCTGTTCTATTTAGATAGAAATGTCACCAATGTTTAATGAGAAAGTTAGGAGATTCTTTAATGGGTCTGGGTGTGTAATCCTGTGCACACTTCTGGATGTGTGTGAAACCAATTAATTGGCAATTTCTAAAGCTTCTTGTTTTTTCATGTCTTGTGAGCGTGTCATGTGTCTCAGGGTAGCATCATTAAATTCATCTCAAAACTGCTCTAGATTGAGTTCCATTTTACTTGTTATATGGCAGATAAATAAATTACGGATTGAGTCAGCAGATCCTACAGAAGATGCTCCTGAAATGCATCATGTGGAAGGGGCATTTGTTGAAACATTATTGTAAGTTTTTTTATTTTTAAATTTTGAACTTAAAATTATTGCAAGTTTGAAAGATATTTTACAGTTGAGTTCATTGTTATGTGTACATAATGTTTCTGATCATTCTGCATGCATATTTAAGAGTTGATTATTGTATCATCGTCTTATTATGTCCAATTGGGGTTGATGTAGATGTTCTCAATTTCTTTTGGTTGATTGTTCCTTTTAGTAGTCTACCACTCAAATGTACTTATATTCTGTAGACCGAAGGCTAAATCTCCACCTCAAGATGCTTTACTAAAACTGGAAACAGAGCAAACTTTCACTGAACTATCTCAAGAGAGCTCCATGTTTATTTTTAAGCTGGGTTTAGTTAAGCTCCAATGCTGCCTCTTGATGAATGGGCTTGTTGTTAATGCTAATGAGGTACTTGCTCGAATCTCTTGTTGCTTCTTCTTCCTCCATAATAATATATTCTTCTATTTTCTTAGCTTTTGTCTTTGACTGTGGTAAGATTTCATTTAAATTTTGTTTGTTTTTTGTAGATTTCCGTCAGCATGTCGTATATGCTCTTACAAGAGATATGGGTTCTTAAGTTGGATTCTTCATGATCTCCCATGACCATTAGCACAAGAATGACATATTTAGTTTAGAAGGCAAAGTTGATTATTCTTCTTTGTAACTTTACATATGATTGGCTACTTTCTTCTCTTTTACTTTTGATCCCTGGTTTTGTAACTCTCTTCCAGCTAAATCAACCCTTTAGCCTTACTAGACTTCTGTCACTCGTAGTTTTCAAAATTTGTAAAGTCTTACGTCTCATGAACGATGAAAGGGATGTGATGAATCATTTTGTCATTCACATCATGGATGATGCTTTAAAATTATAGGTTTATTATGGATTGAATGAATTATTAGGAATTACAGGTGTATTGTTTTTCTTCTTTTGGTGATCAATTTATTAGTCGGGACAAATAAATAATTTTTTTTTGCAAAAAATGACAATTGCCGACCAAGAGATTTGGTCACAAAAAATACATCTATTGCCGACCAAAACAGTTCTTGGTCGTGGAATCTCACTTTTGCCGACCAAAAGTTTTGGTCACGAAAAATAACAAATGGTGACCAAATTTTTTGGTCGTGGAATGTCACAATTGACGACCAAACTTTTTGGTCGTTGAATGTGATAATTGGCGACCAAACTTTTTGGTCGCGAAATGTGTCAATTGGCGACTAAGATATTTGGTCGGGAAAATATCACTTTTCGCGACCAAAGTGTTTTAGCGACAAAATGAATTAGTCGCGGTAATTAAATATTTAGCGACCAAAAATTTAGTCGGCAAATCCAACTTTTGCTGACCAACCAAAATTTTGGTCGCGAATTACTTTTGCCGACCCTCAATTGGCGACCAAAGTAGCGACCAAAAAAGTTGGTCGCGGATAATTTTTGCCGACCAAAAATAGACTTTTAGCGACCAATTTTTTTGTTGCCAAAAGTGTTAATTCTTGTAGTGCCACCATCACCATGTTCTTCTCCTTGTTGCTCTTCTGTCTCCCTCAGTTAGTCTAGATCTCATCATTATCTCTCTCTCATTCATCTATCTTTCTCTCTTTGTTCTCTTTCCTTCTTATTTTTTTCAAATCATCTCGTTTGATTTCATTTTTTAAATTCACTTTTTAAAAATTTAAAGTCTTTTTTCATGTTTTTTTTTTGTTTTCACTAATTTTTTTTTAAATATTTTAAATATATATATTTTTTAATTTTTAGGTACACCTAACATAAATATACTTAAAAAGTATAATATTTGTGAAAATAAAATCTTTAAAAAATTTACTAAATACCAAAAAAAAAAATGAAAATTTAATACATATTCACATTCATGTGTATTTATTATTTTTTCAAAATATTTTTTACATATATTTTACTTTTTAGATACATCTAAGTAAGGAGTATATAAAAAAGTAAAAAAAAAATGTTTAAAATTTTAAAAATACTCAGTAAAAATAAAAATAAAAAGCATGAACAATAAAAAAACTCAGTTTTTATAAAATTGAATTTAAAAAATTAAAACCATCAACTCTAAAATTTTGAGCCAACAATTGAAAATTATTTGTTTTGCTCACAATAAAATTCACTACTTTAGCATAGTGAGTTTTTTTTGTCATTGTGAAATTTTACTTCACCATAAATATTCTACGAAAAATGGTCATCGTCATTTGACAATGGTCATGGAAAAGTTGTTCCTAATTACAGGAGGTGGCAACCAATGGAAAAATAACTAAATATGAAGAGGGTATAATATAATTTACCCAATAAATATGTATACTAATTTTTCTTACTTATCAATTTGACACCAATTACCGCATCAGTAATACTATGATTATTAAATTATTTTACTACTTTTTACTTATCATGTGATGTATCACGACAGAACCATTATGATGATAACTAGCACAAATGGTGGGACTTAATAATTCAATGCAACAATTATGTAACACTTATATCTTTTAAATTATTGAAGAGTGTATTTAATTCTTTTATTTTTATTTTCAGAGTCTTTGGAGTTGTTGAATTTTGATTTTGGAAGAGTACGATTCAATTTAGATTTGTCAGGATTGTTCGTTCGCGCTCGTTTACATTGAAAAGTTCTTTGGGAACTTGGAAAATCTGTTCTGGTGTCGACACTAGCCTTCCTAAGGATCGACACCACCTTGTGGCCTTGCTCTTAGTGTCTTTCCTGGTTTATAGGGTCAACACCACGGGTTCTATGGGTCCACCATTCCCTTGTTGTTTTGTTCTGAGTTACATTCTGAAATATAGGGTCGACACCACTAGTTCCTAGGGTCAACCATTGTCCTCTACACGCATTAGTGTCTCAACTTTTCTTCATGAGGGTCGACACAACTGTCATAAAGGTCAACCCTTGTGAGTTAATTTTCAGATTTTGGTTCGATTTTGGGCTTAACTTTTTGGGAGTTTGACTTATTCTTTCCCTTGACTTTAGGCCTAGTATACTATCATTATAAATAGACCCCAAACACACTTTTTTCATTCACTCTCTCTTCTCTCTCTCTCTCTCTCTCTCTCTCTCTCTCTCTCTCTTCTCTTTAAACCGTGAATCCCTCTCTGTCTCTTAGAAACTCAACTTTTTCACTTAGATCTCTAAATCTACTTGGTTAGAGATATCTTTTCACCTTGGTCGTTTGAGGAAGATTGTAGATCTCGTCAAAGGCTTGCTTTTGATACAAGAGTTTCGTATTTTCATCGACTTTGAGTTTTTCATAGTTCTTCTTTTCGCTTCAAGAGGTAGGTTCTATTTTCTAAACTCAATATGAGTTCGATAACATATTTGTGGCGTATTTTGTTATTTATATTTGGTAGTGATTTTGAAAAGTAATTTTGAAAGAAAATGAGGTTTGGTTCTAAAACCATGGGTTTTGGCTTGTGTTGGAAAAATATTTTAAAAAAATGATATTGTTTTGGGAGTTAGAATGATTTTGGTGAATGGCTTGGTTGGAAAGAGATGGAAAGGAAATGGTTGTGGGATCGTGAAAATGGGTGTTATTACTCTTTTGGAAAGTATATCTATATTGATATCTTTTGATTATTGCATTAGAGATAACTATTTTGGCTATCGGTGGAGGATAGCATTACCGTGTGTTAGAAATTGCTTGTGGATTAGACAATTTGAAATCATTCATTCATGGAGCATATAATGAATTTTGGAAATTGAAATTGTTTGTTTGGGAAAAGGTTTTGAAAATTCTCACATTATGTTTTGGAACATTTGCATTATTTTGGAAAAATAATATTTTGATTTACATGTATTGTACTATTAAAAAGGGTAAATAAAATGGTGAATCTAGGAGAAAGTTGTTGTTACATCAAATAAGTTGGCATGTGTGTCCAGGTGAAAGTCCCAAAAATCGGGCGTATATATGGGTGTCGATCCTGTAGACGAAATATCCGTAAAATGGTAATAGTAATGCTTATATAGCCTACGTTTACATTGGTGCCGGTTTACAGTTTCTCGCAGACGAAATTTCTGTGAAAGGTTGTGTTGTTTTGGAGATTTACCAATTTTATTTACTATTATGTTGGTTTGGAACAGGATGTTTGGAAAATGATTTTAACAATGTATTTGCTATTGTCTAGTGATGTATTCGTATTTGATTTAGCAATGTATTTGCTGGTTCGTATTGAGGTACCGGGATTGGTTTTTGGAAATGAATTTTATATCAAACTGATGTTTTGGACTCAAGAAAACGCTTTTGATTAAACGTAAGGTTTCGGTAATTGGAAAGAAAGGATTTTGTTGAGAAATCAAATGGATTAGAAAAATACATTTGGGCATATTGTTTATATGTATTGCATCATGATCATTTATGCTTGTGGAGCATGTTTAGTTTTTGAAATATTCTCTACTGGGCTTTATGCTCACCTTACGTGGCCTAAAATGTTTTTCAGGTGTACATGTGTGGATATGGATTGAGACGTGAAGCTGTGTTCGGAATCATGTGGGGGTAGTTCTGTTATTTGTAAGCCAATGGCCATGTATGTTATTTATTGGTCGTGTGCCATTCTTGTAAGGTTACACCCTTGTGTATGATGTAAGCCTCAGGGCATCTAATTTGATTTTATGACACTTGTGCATGTTTTAGTTATAGGACATCCATTTGAAGTAGATATTGTATCTAGGAATGCATTAAATCGGATGAACATATGTATTGTGTGACTATATTATATTCATTTGCATGAGAGTTGTTATCTAGTGTTCATCGTTGGGTAGTTTATTCAAGTGAGTTGAACCGTGTAAATCTTGGGTGTGACAACTTGGTATGGTGGGCCATAGTGTTCATCGTTGGGTGGTTTATTCACGTGAACTAACCCGGTTTTAAAATCTTGGGCTTGTGGGCCATAATTGATTTATCTTGCTCGGTGAGGACATTTGTATGTTGTGTGGTAAGTAATAACATGCTTTTGTGTTGCATTTTATGTGGGTATGGTGTTGAGACTCATAGATATTATTCGGTCTCTAGTTGACTAACTTAGAGGTCTTGTTGGAAACACACTTGATCAAAGTTGTTTCTAATGGGAAATCTAAGCGAGCACTGGAACAGATTACTATCTTTGTAGACTTGGCACGATTATGTGTTATGTGGCATGTGGTAACTGATGTGTGAATTGATTGGAATCTAAATGCAATCAGTTTGAGTATTTGCTTATATGATGGTATTGTGTTAATATTTCGGTGAAAGGTACTCGTGTGGTGTATCCTAGGTCGCATGTTTTCTCTTTAATAGAGACGTTTTGGACGATTGTAGTAAACGTTGAGTGGGCACCTTGATGTGTGCCATATAGGTGATATGTTACGTATTAGTATAGGTTGTGAGTTGGTGTTGGTTTGTCCTTAGTGACTGCTATATGCCTTTGAGATACGGCGGTGTTTCGAGTCCTTGTGCTTGGTGGTTGAGTGGAGTTGTTATACTCATTTAAGTGACGTCATGTAGGTTCAGTGTTGGTTATTAGTCTGTAGACTAGTACGTATTAGAGTTAGTTATGACCTTGGGGTCAGAAATGTGAGGTGTAGTGTGGGTGTGTTCTCCAATGGAGTGAGTTGTTGTAAGTTTTGTAACCCGTGGAAGGGGTGTTGGTGGTGTTGGAGTTTCTAAAACACGGAGAGTTCGAATTGCCCTTAAGGCCACGTGTCTGTCATCACCAAAGTTGCCTCGGCTCGGGAACTTGGGTACGATTGGGGAAGGTCACTTCGTGAGCACCCCCGCTCGCCTGATCAAAGATCGGGCTCTACTAACCATGACATCGAGTTTTGAAAACATTATGCGTTCTTATTCCAGTTATTAGCCTAGATTTACTATGTGATGCGCACAACATACAAG